TCGATGGCTCTTCCGTCGTCGTCGTCATCTCGGTCTCGTTCCCTGCTCCATCACAAGCCGACTGTCAATTGACGTCATCATCGAGTGACGCAAGTGAGAGACAAGGAGAGCGAACCGTATCGGGTAAAGAGGAGAGAGAAACCGCCTGTCCATTCAGTTGTGCGGACGGGAATGACCATGTAGACGACGGCGTCATTGGTTGCCACACGAATGCTTCTTTTGTTCTGCATCTCCTTGTTGCTTAAAATCATCCCGCTTCGACCTGATAGCACCTCCCGCCCTGGTACAAGAGAAATGTGAAGCGTGAAAAGTCATGAGGGGTCTGGGGGAGAGACTCAACGCCCATCCGTGTCACAAACCGCCGCCGATGTAGAGGAATTCATTCTGGCCGCCATTTAGAATCAGGTATTGAAGTTGGAAGTCCCATCCCGTCCCTGGAGGTCCCGATAGATGCCAGACGTATCGTTTCGGCATCTGGATTACCGGATCTTCTTCTCTATATTCGATCGTGCCGTTGAGCCCGGTCACATGAAACTCCTGGGTCAGCAAACCTTCCCAGCAAATGAACCCATCGCTTGAATCATTCAGCCTGTTTCATCAACTGATGGAAAGAAACAAGAGAAGGAGAAGCAGACTGGCATCTATGACGAAGTAGAAGATTTTGAAGGGCCTGGTGGCTCTGCTGGTGGTTAAATGAATCCAGGCATCATCATTTTCCACGTACACCGATGTATTTTCCGAGACAGGGCCATCGAATTTATACAGAACTGTTTCATCATTCCCGACTGGGAATTCATACTTGATTCCTCTGCCCACTTTCAACACGAAGGTTCCTTCCTCGGGGCTGAAATCCTCCTCCGTAAAGATGATCTCGATGACGTCCGACGTTTTGTTCCGGAGGACGTTCCATAGGAAATTCTGCAAGTTCAAAATCACCAGATTGGAGCCCTTTAGGGCATATTCATGATCATTCCTCGAAGACTCTCGTTAAAGAGAACACTACAATACAATAGGATGGAGGGGACACTGGGACTGCGAGGACTTCCCATCCAAACCTCCTCAATAGCTCCTGTGTCTGGAGGGTCCATGATCATCCTCTATCCTCCAGTCCCGATCTCGCGCCCAGCGACTTCCATCTGTTCGAGCCTTAGAAGAAACACTTCGCTGGACGTGTTTTCACTACCGATGCTGCGGTTCAAGATACAGTTCGAGAGTGGTTACGCGCACAGGACACAATGCTATGAGGATGTCGTGGAAAAGCTGGTTCTTCGATGAGAAAAGTGTCTCAACCTGGGTGGTGACTATGTGGAAAAGTAGTTGTAGAGTAGGTACGACCACAATACATGCGTAACAGGCTCTAAAATAAGTTGTGTTCACAACTACAGGCCTTGTCTTGTTACTTTCCGATCACTCCTCGTGCGTGTGGATGTGATCCGTCCTTCCCTTTTGCCACCCGGGAGGACCATAATTCTGGTCAGCGGTCTATCATATTATAACATAACTTTTGTTTCTCTTATTATACGAGTTTCATCTCGTATTTCATTACGATTCTCACAGGCACTATAACAATAGGAGTCAGATTGCAATTAGCATCACTCACATATGGACACGTCTGGAACGCCCACGGGGCAGGGAGAGTTATACACTTAGTTCTCCGATTATATAGGGTTGTTAAAATAAAATAAAAACGCCCTACCGTTTTCTATGGGAGAAATGCAGTTTCATAAATGCAACAAAAAACATTGCATTGAATGCGTGACACCCGGTCAACGACAGCACCCTCTATCGGGATTCAGCGCCATCTTGCGGAAGTGAAAAAAACCTCTTAGACTCATGAACCTCTCTGTCAAGTATAACTGGATCAACTATCCCTTGAAAAATGTATTAGTCCAAGTTACAAAATGTGAATGCCTTCGTGCCAACCTGCATGTAAGAAACTCTAAGACTCGTCCATACCAGATAGTTTTCTTGCATAGACTTCATCAGAATGTTGCAAGATAAAAAGTTTGCTTGAAAAAAAAACTCCAAAAGATTCCTTCCAGAAACTTTCCAAAATTCCTCACCTGTAAATATTTTATTGCAAATTGACTTACTGATAAAACTTGCAGGGAAAACATTCTATCGCGAATGAAGCCTGTGGAATGCGAGACAGATATGTTCAGCGAACACATTCTCGCGAGGGGAATTTTTATATCTTGGAGCGAGAAAATAACCCTGTTTTCATCTGGAGAAAAAAATGTAAGGACAAAGTGGGAAATAATGTGAACATACCTCCCATCGAGGAATAACTCCATCGGTGTTCACACATGGTTCCAGTATACCCTCAGTCGTTGTCAAATTCCACATCCATTCTCCTTCAAGTGAATCGCACAGTGGTGGGTCTCGTGTCTCTCTCAAGCCTGGTCAAAGTCCAAAGTCGCTCATTTTAGTGTTTCTGCATCCTCTGGAGGTCACGATTGGTTTATGATAAGAATCGCGGGGCAAAATAAAACTTTGTGTGGTTTATCCATTTAGTCGTGTTCGACTCTTGGTGACCTGATGGACAAGGTCTCGCCAGCATTTTCTATCCATGGCCAACTCCTTCAGTTCTTGCAGTCGCATTTGTGTGTCTTCCACAAAATAATACTAGTAATTTCATTTTTAGATGATGATTTCAGAATCTGAATTCCGGGAGGGACGGGGTTAGGGTTGACTGTCAGTTATATTAAATATCTTTTTCTAGCAGGAGATTCACGTATCTTGGTTTGTGGAGGAAAATAGATTTTATGTGAATTAAAAAAGGGCCCACTGTAGTCATTCTCAAACAAGTAATGAAAACGAGAAAACTGCAGTAGGTGCAACCTGCAACGTGCAGCAGGTGCAAACTGCAACTGCAAGTAGTACAAGAACTTTCGAGAAAACTTTCAGCTTGTGCACAAAGTGGTTTGAAAAGTTCAATATTCATGAAGAAGTAGCTCTCGAGCGCTCAATTAAGGAACTGTATGATTACCGATAACCTTACTGAAGTGTCTGAAGGATATTAATTGAACGGTCATTAGAACATAAATTTATTTAATCTATGCTACTTGGACGGGTATCGGGTGAGCCATATAGCAGTTGCTCGTACAAACCAGGTTCACACGCACAGGTTAGCATTTTCAGAAAGGAAGCCCTGAAACCTGTCACGAGTAAGTCCTCTCTCTCGAGGAAGGTATGATGGAGTAAGCCTTCTTTCAAGGAGTTCGCTTACACCATGGTAACATTGTACCCTTCTGGGTGTCAACTTTCTTTCTGCATCTTGAACCCATTATAGATCAACCCTTTGTTCGACAGAGTCACAGATGAGGTCCATTTTTGTCAACAAAGATTAGATGCTTTTTTTTTTTTTACCTCTCTGAAAAAAAACCATGCTGCGCAATCTACTTTGAGATCCAGGAGATAGGGACTATCGGCTTCAACTTTTCTCTGACGAACATCCTCGAGCGACATGTACCGTAGGTCCCTACGCACAGCTACCTGCACTGCTTCTTCCAAAACTTGAGGCTTTTGTGGCAGAGCCAATCGGAGTTGGGTATCGACTTGCCTCACTGAGGCGATGGTCTCATCGGTCGAGATCACTTGTCAATGGTGAAAAAAAAAACATTTCTATGTCAATTATTTTCTTCCGCCCACTCTCACCCTTTCTCCCATCCCGCACCTGACTAGTCATACGAAATTCACCCCACCATCTCCTCCCCGTTTCCTCAGATATCTCACAGATACGGCATATGATGTCAATGCCATTACCGTAATTATTAGGAAGGCGACAGCTAATATACAACTGCCTCTTCACTGAAAGAACGATGGCTTCGTAATCCATTTTACACCAACTGCTCTATGTTAGAGTATTGGTGAAGCAGCAGGAAAAGTATGAGACAAGGGTGAGGGAGTGAGAGACCGGTGCCCCATAGGTCAGACGATCTCGGGATATGGGAGGGTGACCGCGCTTGCCTATCCTGATCTCCACCGCTGTTTTTTTTCAGAAAGGGGTATTTGCACCTCACATTGTAAATTTATATGGAACAGAATATGAAGGAACTATTAATTACAAGTGAATCACTTGTAACTTGTAAACTTGTTGGCTTCTTAATTCCCTGGAATAGGTTCCAGGAGGAGGTTGAAGATTTAAATTTCCATCTGTCAGTGGAAGGGTTCACAGGCAACCAATACCAGCATAAGAAGAAAACAATGGAAAAGCGATGGAAAATAACTCAATAAGATTGTATTTTTTGGAGATATATCAAAGCTTTGTAAGGAGACAGTCGAGAAAAACTCGAATCTCGCTGGAGGAATTGTGCTGCACACATCCTCTGGATTTGCCCAAATATCCTGCTTGGGAAGTAAATGGGACATCCCAGGA